AGCAAGTATCATCTTTAAATGTATCTTGGTATGACGCGACCGGGGTTCGAACCGCCAACCGGCCGCTCTCCGGGATCAGAAATAGTGGTAGCAGTAGTAGAAGAATCAGTTCTTAGAGTACTAGCAGCAGAAGCAGTGGTCGTAGAAGTGATGATGTTTGTTGTAGTAGTAGTATTAGTAGGGAGAATGGTAGTAGTAACAGTAGTAGTAGTAGTAGCAGCAGCAGTAGCAGAAGCAGTAGCAGTAGTAAGGATGATAGTAGTGGTAGTGACAGAAGTAGTTGTAGTACATGCGGTAGCAGTAGTGATAGAATAGAAGTGATGAAGTTGTAGTAGTAGTAGTAGTAGTAGTAGGTGAAGTAGTAGTAGTGGTAGTAGTAGTAGTAGTAGTAGTAGTAGTAGTAGTAGTAGAAGTAGTAGTAACATCATAGTAGTTTAAGTCGTGGTAGTAGCTGTGGTGGAAGTGGTGGTGGTCGTCGTGGCTTGTAGTGGTTGGTTGTATCCGTATTAGTTGTATCTGGTTGTAATCGTAGATCTAATAGTACTGCGTGGTTGTTATCCTGCAGGCTCTGCCTCCACATTAGTTAACATAATTAATATTAAAATACTGACAGAAACACAAATGGTTAGACTAGCCCTCAACACCAGTGAAATGGTATGGTCCATGTATACTTGCAGCAAGTACAAAAGATGTATGCTGTAAGTTTTGTGACGCAATTCCATTAACATACTACAATGTACCTGAAATGAACATAACACCTGCTGATTATAACATTAAACTCTCAATAATACTAATACAAGTGTTTGATAAAAGTATTTCTTATCGTTAAACATTATATATTAGCCCCTGGTGTTGAATAAATGCACAGGGTGACTAAATGAAAATATACAGTCATCGGGGATCAGTTCGTGAACCGCCTTAACTCCTTAGCATCAGGTCAGGTCACCATTGTGAAGCAGTGGGATATCTTTGTGACATTAGATGCGTCAACACTTCAGAGGGGCAGATACTGATAGACACATTTATATAGGTATGTTACAAACATTTACATTTTTCGAACGTCGTTGTATGTGTATGTATACTCAAATTAAGATCGCTTAAAAGGTCCTGTAGGGTTATATAAAGTTAAACATTTAGATAAAGACATAGATATTTGCATAAGTTGACATGGTCGCCCGAGCCATACATTGAACTACGATCTGACAGAGCGTCTATCACTACCAATGTATGAGAGACTATTGTCACAGAAACCAACTGAACATGTTTTGCTATATCATGGGTGTTTTCTCATCTTGGACATCGACTGGTGACCGGACGTTTCTCCTTGAGGGATACGATTGATAAACTATTAACGTTATATTTTATTTTCTATAATACTGACAACATTTGTCTGATGATTCAAAACTAAGATCAGATATCATTTTATATGTTTCTCCTACAACATCCTTAAAATGAAAATGAAAATACTTTTGATCAGCAGTCATAATTTGAACACATGCAATCAATTCTGTACGTAAAGAGGTTGGTTCCAAGCCCATTCTTTCATTGCCATATCACATAATGACGTTGTACCTCGACGATAAAGCAAATGTATGTATTCTTCGTTGTTCTTGGATTTAAAGTAGTATTTCGGCGACACCAATGAAATAAATTGTTACACACAGTGATATTGCTAAAAGCGGCGTAACACCATTTAGAAATTGTCATACGAAAGGCTACTCAAAAATGCCCCAACATCACTGATGTCACAGCACAGCCGAGAACTTGGTTACAAAAGCTGATCAAACTTGATGAAATTCATTTCAGAACACACATTTCTGTCACATTTCTTTGATGTGATAGCGCCCTTTGTACCCTGTATCGTCATGCGTTGCAAATGCTGTTGCCGTCATGGTAAAATGGAGATAAACCTACTGTGTTTTGAAATTTGATGTAGAAAAACTTTGATTCAATAGCTCTCCTTTAAGACGGTACAGTACTGACAATGTGAAATAAAGTTTGCATTGTTTTTTAAGAAGTAAAAGTCTGCTTAGTTCACTGTCATAAGTAAACAAAGGTTTGATAAACAGGGGTACCTCAAGGTGTGGCTGCTCTATTTCCATCTGATTGCACATTCTACAGATTGATGTGATGGAAGACAGTTATGATTAAAACAATATTATGTTACATGAAAGACATTAAGAGAATGGTCAACATGTCGTTGCTTCTATGATCAAGAACAATATAAAGTTTTTGAGTACTAATTGCTTATGTTGAGAAATTCTGAAAATGTGGAGTTAAAACGTTGTGGTACACTTGTTGCATTGAATACTTGATCATCTTGTAGAATGGACAATGCGGAACATGGCTTTTAATTACAGAAAAACCTTTTGTCGACCTCGCAATGAGATGATTCTAGAATCTTTTATGCTTTTGGGGTGATTGCCAGCACACTGTCATTGTCGTTCCAGCTTTTGTCTTTTAAGTATGTTTGGCCATTAAAGTCATTCCTTACTTTCTTCCCAACCCAATGCATTCATTCGACATAAGTTACAGATTCATCTTTAAAAAAACAAACAACAGAGTTACGATATTCAATAGAAATTAACGATGACATATTTGGCTAAACATCAATTTGGTTCAGGGACGGCTGCAAAGCTAGTATTGAGATTGATCCGAATCTCCAACTTTCTCTCCACCATTTACGCTACATCCTACTCAATATCACGACCCTCCTAATCTTCAGCTTTCACCATCTCTACATCACTAGACTCATCTTCAGCCTTCACCGTCTCTCCTTCACTAGCCCCCTCATGTTCAACCTTCACCATCACTCCTTCACTGGCCCCTTCGTGTTCTGCCATTATCTCTCCATGCTTACCCCCTTAGCGACAGCCTACATCTTCTCTCCATCACTAGCCACCTCAACTTCAGCGTTTATCATTCATCACCAGCCTCCTCATCTTCAGCCTTTATCACTCCATCACAAGCTCCCTCATTATCAGCCTTCATCTTCTCTCCTTCACTAGCCCCTCATCACCAGGCCTTATTTCTCCATCACTAGCCTACTCATAGTCACCTTCCATTTTCGCTCTCCGTTTTTATGAACATTTCTGACACTTTCTATACATACATGTTGGAGATGATGAATCACAAACTTTGTCATGGATACAAGTTTGCAGTGAGTCCGTTTTGATTATAGTAGCAGAAACAACAAATTTAGAGTTTTCACATTACTTTATGTGAGCAGGAACTGCGATCACTTGGGTTTAGAATAACTGCCCAACAGGACGTAACCTGGAGAAGGTGGCGAATATTTTTTCTTAAACTGCCCCTATCCGTGTATGTTTAAGTAGATCTCTTTTCCCAGTTTCCGTTAGGACATGTTCTCTCCTCACCACCCAGGTTAAGTTATCTACGTTCGGGATCTTTGTCGCGATTCTGTCGAAACTTTCTCTGCATTTGTCATTGCCATAGTTACCTTTCGAAGGTTGTTATTTGTGTCAGGTAAGTCACAAACATCAAGGACATGGTTATATATTATTTCTATTCAGGAATCATATAAATTTGATTCAAGTTACACTCTGAAACTCCTAAATGAATCTCTTTTATAAGTTTACAACAAAAATATCCGATGAATGAAAGTACTTACAAAAATGCTTTCTTTACCCATTTAAAACACACCAAGAGCACATATCATGACACAATAATTAAAAATGGCCATTTCATTATATGTGTTTGGAGGATACATGTAAATATATACATGTATATTGTAAATTCTTGAAAGATTTTTGACAAAAAAAGTGACATCTTTTGATCGAGAAAATGACCCATTTACAGTTTTATCTAAATGATAGTCATGTTCGTTTTATTTGCAATTGGTTGTTTAATTTTGTTTTCAGTCATGTCAGAAGAAAACTTTAAAAAGCCACACGACACGCCAGAGGATGACAGCGAACTTCATGCACAACATTTGCTGTCAAGGAACGGACAAACTTCGGAAGAGTCCGATTCGGGACTGGGATGGGTTATTGTTTTCGCGTCCTTCTTTAGCCACGCGATGTTCTTAGGTATAAATCTATCATTTGGTGTGATATACGTATTTCTTTTGGAATACTTCGACATGAATCGCGGAGACACAGCTTGGATTGGCTCAATTCCAACGGGTCTCCTCAGTTTAGTAGGTAAGTGTTATGATAAGTGATTGAACACCTGGACTTTACTCTACGTAGGACTTCTTGTTTTGATACGTAGCTATTAAAAACGTATAGGATGCGGTATATGGTAAGACATTGGTCTTAAATTTGGTATAACGAAAATAAAAATATTCAAACTAACTGAAATGGACCCTAAAATAAACTAATGGTATCCTTGAAAGGTTTAATTTTACACAGCATGTCACTATCAAGACGTCACTTCTCTCATTGTGACGCAAATTATATGATATCACAGTCGGATATGAAAAAATAAAAATTTCAAGCTCACCATTATCCCGGAAACTTCAAATACACACTCTGAAGTCTGATATGTTACTTTCCCCTTAATGGGTCCGTGAAAATCCGGGGTAGAGTAGGTCTTCAACAACCCATGCTTGCCGCAAGAGGCGACTGTGCTTGTCGTAAGAGGCGACTAACGGGATCGGGTGGTCAGGCTCGCTGACTTGGTTGATGCATGTCATCGTATCCCAATAGCGTGGATCGATGCTCACGTTGTCAATCACTGGATTGTCTGATCCAGACTCTATTTCTTACATACTGCCGTCATATAGATGGAATATTTTTGCGTGCGGCGTTAAACAACAAATAAACAAACAAACAAACTTACCCTAAAAATTATTGGGATATTTGTTCCGAAAATGAGATGCCTTGTCATGGCAACAGGTTGTTACTGTTGTGACATCTGTAAACACGAATGTTTCAAGTTATTTGGTCAGCATTTCCCCTATCATTGGACGCTAAGTTCATGACTAACGTGTACATGTATCGGTAACATATTTTACAATAATTGCTCTCTTTTCTCAGCCCCAGTGGCAGGGATCCTCACGGACAAATATGACTGTCGTGCTGTTACGATAAGTGGAGCTGTCATTGCTTCTTCAGGATTTGTGATCAGCTCGTTTGCAACAAGTATTGACTACCTCTATATCAGTTATGGAGTTTTAGTAGGTGAGCGTCAAAGAATAAGATTCAATGAGGGTCAAGTTGTATTAAAACACGTCACAATAATGTCAAGATGAGGAGTTTCGTAGAGCCTATTTTGATGGTTCTTTTAAATGGTTACATGAATTTACATCTCGTTTAGGAATTGGTCTGGGTCTGATGTTCTTACCATCCAAGGTGATAGTAAACCAGTACATGAAGAAACGTCGAGCTCTGGCTAATGGTATATGTTCCTCGGGATCTGGCGCTGGAACGATGGCCTTCTCAGCAATGTTCCAAGCACTCAGAACCGCCTACGGCTTAAGCGGCATGTTTCTCATCTCTGGAGCGATTGTGTTAAATGCAGCAGTTTGTGGATATTTGTATCGTCCCAAGAAACAAAGACAGAAAGCCTTATCTCCTGCACCAGAAGGTAGGGATGGGATACATGTAACGGGAGTTTTATGTCAATAATACGTGTATATGTAATTTCTAGCCTATCTTTTCACATGACAAACGGGCATATTAAGCTGTCCATTTGCATCTTAAAGCACTGACGATCGTATACATAGTACGAGGGGATATCATAACGTTTCGAGGCTGGCATATCTGGATTTCTTTTTGCTTAGTGTGACATTTGTAAGTATTTGCCTGTGTTTGTTGAGACGTCTTTCACATTTAGGCGTGATTCAGTTCAGTGATTAGCTGATAATTGACCTCGACTCTAAGGTACCCTAACCTACCTTAGAGGTACCTCTTTAACATTGAAATGGACAAAACTGAGTATTGATCAGACTTCAAATATACCTAGAAGATCTATCATCAAACTAGTCGGGTAGCTTAGTGGTTAAAGCGTTCACTCGTCACCCCGAAGACCCGGGTTCGATTCCCGACGTGGGTACAATGATAGAATTTCAGCATGAGGGACATACCACCTGGAGCATAAAAGAAAACGTTGATCTACACAAGCTGGCACTGAAATGGCACATTGAGAGAAAATATAGGGCTGAAGTCACCTTTGTTATTGTTGGTATTATTAATACAGCAACATGAAACATAGGTTGATGGCATTATGAAACAACAGAGGAAGACAGCAACAATTACCACACCAACGACTCAGTTTGTATCATTTTAACAATACTTATTTAAAAATAACCGTGTCTTTCAGGTGCTTCTGAACTACAAAGTAAAGACAAAGTATGCTGCAAGATTAGTCCAATCCAGGGATACACACACCTGCTCCACAATATCCAGTACTGTCTGTTCATATTTGGCAATGGCCTATCTACAATTGGCATTTTCGTTCCTTTCGCACATCTTCCAAGGCGAGCACGTGACTTACAAGTTCCCGAACACAAGGTGGCGTGGTTGTTGCCTATGATTGGTTTTGCCAGTGTAGCAGGACGACTGTTCTTCGGTTGGATTGGGGATTTCAGTTGTGTCAATATCAGGGTTTTATGGGCGTGGTCTAATATACTGTGCGGATTCTGTTTGATTGTGTGTCCTTTCTTGAGATCATTTCCATTGCTAATGGGATTCGCTGCGATATTTGGTCCTTTATCAGGTAAGTTGTTAAAACGTCTCGGAATATCATTTTCCTTAACTCACATTCAGTTTTATCGGTATGTATCAATATCTTGCAATATAAACTTTTTTGGCTTTATCAAGTACCAATGTAATTTATATACACGCACATTCGGATGGAACGAATCCAGAATGTATTCAGACTGATAACAGTAAGGATCAGTATAATGAATGCAGTATTATTGCAACTCACTGCAGCCAGTTCATGTATGTTTTTTTTGTATTCTGGGGCAGATTCGGGGTAGAATTGATTCTTAGGGACATTTGCATGCCATAAGAGGCAACTATGACCCCATGACTTGACGTGTCATCGTGCGCTGATGGCATGGAACGTGCTTTCAGGCACTTTTTTGCTTGTTATTCTTTTAACTTGTTTAACGTTGTTCTCTTTCCATGAAATAGTAACACAGCATTCAACATCTTTTTCCATAACAGGCATTTGGACGGGGTTGAAGACAGTTGCTCTGGTAGATGTGGTGGGTCTTGAAAACCTTGGCAAAGCCCTGGGTCTGATGTTGTTTCTACAAGGATTGGCTGGCTTCATTAGTTCCCCGCTAGCAGGTAGGTGTGCTGAATGTATTGTGCATATCCTTTTAAAAACAGAACTTTGAGCACAAGAAAAAAATGTGGCCCAAAATAAATGTAGCTGCATTCAAGCTATTTACGCTGAGAGGAATTTGCAATTGGTGTTGGCTCTAACTCTTCTAGGAGTTGAAACGAGAAACGCTGATTGGTTAACTATATAGTTTCCTTTCAGACTGTTGAAATATTTATTCATGTAGTTTGCTATTCGAGTGGAAAGTGTATTGGAATAATTTCATGGATGAACTTTAACTGGTATATGTGTGTTACTTCGGAATGTAAGACACACTACATACTATTTAAATCATGCTATTTTCTCCAGGCTGGTTGTACGATGTCACGGGGACATACGCAGCGTCCTTCTACACAGCCGGGGCCTTGTCTATATGCGGTGGTATTATGGTTTTATCGCAAATGAAACTTCGAAATGTGGGCAAAGGAAGGCTATTCATATTATGTAAACTGGGTAGATAGAGTAAACTGGGTGTGGTCCCTGAACTGATGTGTTACACACCAGATGGCAGAAGCTTGGAGTGATCCCTGAAATGATGTGTTACACACCAGATGGAAGAAGCTTGGAGTGATCCCTGAAATGATGTGTTACACACCAGATGGAAGAAGCTTGGAGTGATCCCTGAACTGATGTGTTACACACCAGATAGAAGAAGCTTGGAGTGATCCCTGAACTGATGTGTTACACACCAGATAGAAGAAGCTTGGAGTGATCCCTGAACTGATGTGTTACACACCAGATAGAAGAAGCTTGGAGGGATCCCTGAACTGATGTGTTAACACCAGATAGAAGAAGCTTGAAGTGATCCCTGAACTGATGTGTTACACACCAGATAGAAGAAGCTTGGAGTGATCCCTGAACTGATGTGTCACACATCAGGTAGAGTACACAAGGTGTGATCCCTGAACAGATGTGTTAAACACCAGATGAAGGAGGATGGATGTGGCGCGTAATCCGATAAATTATGCGTTACACATCAATTGAAAATGGAGGCCTAGGGAATTTCACATATCTTCCTGCTTGAAAGAATCAGTGTGTAACTATATGTGATGTGTAAGCTTTTGCACAATGTGAATTCGATAATTCCACGTGTTTCATATCACGGTTGTTCATGCACTATTTCAAATACGATGTAGGTAAATTTTGAATTTTGAACTTCAGAATACAGTTGGCAAGTCGGCTTGAGTGACTAACATCAATTTATCTTGGTAGCGATTTGTATGTAATGAATGAAGGAGCACCTTTAGAATACAGTACCACAACTTCTCGTGAGGACGATCTCTGTCGTAGGTCACATGTCTCAAAGACAAGCAACCAGTTTTTGTGAGAATCCGTCGGACGCGAACTCCCGACCTTCTGATTGTTAGCCCGACAGCTAACCGATTGAGCTACGTCCACACTGTTAAACTGAGTGCAAATTTACTGAACGAAAAGGGTCGAATAGGGGACGGACACTTACGAAGGTGACTGGTAGGCGTGGAGTCTCGTGACTATAGCCTACGGCCACTTACGAATGATCCCGATGTCATTTGGCACACTCGTCCCATTCCGTAATCTACAAGATACCGACTCGTGAGGAATGAGCCGATATGGCGCGAACTGAAAACGGCTCCAGGCGTCAGACGTCAGACGTCGAACTCGCGAGTACGCATGAATGCGTTGTATTTAATAATTAGTCGGGTGGAAAAATGTAGCCGGTGAAAGTGGCTTGTGTGAATGTTCCAGGACAGTTTCCAGGAGCCAAAATATTCGACACAAAACCATTTTATCCTTTTTACGACGTCGTTTCTGTGTGAAGAATATTAGCTGCTATGGAATCTATAATATCGACTAAACGGGTACCTAACCCTAATGATCGTAAAAGGGATCCAAGGGCTAAGGATAGAGTTCTGGTAACCTAATAGCCACTAAACGGGTACCTAACCATAACGATCGTAAAGGTGTGATTGATCGTAAAGGGGATCCAAGGGCTAAGAATAGAGTTCGGGGTAACCTACCCTAACACTGGCGACATTTCGATGTGTTCAGCGCCAATATAATATTCCTAATAAACTGCATTCTTGCGCATAATAATGAAAATTAATGAACCGAAAAAATAATATATGTATCTTAGTTCCCATTTAAAATCATTTTAGCCACTTGAACTACGAGAAAAAAAAAAAAATAAAAATAAAAAATAAAAGTGCTTTCGTAAACTAGCGCTTGCTATAAAATGCTCTGCCGCGGGCTATATGTAGTAAACAAATATTCAAAACTCTCAACACCGCTGGGCGTGTTCAATGACATTGCGTGTAGAGATGATAGATCACTGGGAGGAGTTTGGGCACACTTAATGACCCCTGACGTCACAGGGCATTGTTTCGCCGGTGTGACTGGCAACAAAATACCACAAATTACGTCATAGGGTATTGTCACGTGTTTGAAAAGTTTAGTACTGTATTCTAAATGTAGGCCTGAATGAACATACACAGATACGAAATACAAGGACGTGCGTCATGCATACAAAGGTTATCGATGGCTCCACAGTGTATTATTACACAACTGATACTTGGCTGCTTTCGGATGGCAGAAACTAAGTCATGATATATACACGTTGCTGGGACAATGAAACTGCTATAGTCAACAGTCGGAGGGCACCTTTAAGAGTACATGATTGTGATATGTTACAAGATTGTTCATCATCAATATATGTTATTGTGTATTTTGTTGTCAAGTTGTAATTTCAAGGCAAACATTGATCAGCTGTCTGTGGTTGGCCTCTGTCTGTCTTGACAGACTGTATCGATCATTGATATGATTTAGCTTCGATACCATCTCTTATTCGATGTGATTCGCTGTGCAATCGCATCCGATGGTCGTGTTAGATTCGATGATGGTGGGTTCGAACTCCAGATTCTTTGTTATGATCTTTGGTTTGTCAGCACCAACCTAGTGTTCTTGGGTTTCTCCAAAGAGGTAAACGTCTTCGACCTGCGACACTTTGAGCATTCCTCCCAAATATATCTGACGGGCCCCGAATTAAAATAGCTCAGTTCAAAGCATTGTTCTGGTTTGTTTACAGACCGTCATCGCATGGCTGTACCATGTCAGGCAATAAATACTTACTTTTTTAATCTGAAATGCTTGAATGGCGGATGGTTCCGGTAGGGCAGGACATGATTACACTTTGGCGAACACCTGGTGTCATCACTGATTTTCAGTGATCCATTCATACAGTCTTCACAGGTTTTTGCCCTTTACGCCAAATGGCGTCTGTTCCGCCAGGTAATTTAGACTGGTTATTCTCTTGCATTGACAATTTAAATTATATATCTCACTCAATCCCCCATATACCCTTCCACTTATCACCTGTAACAGAGTAACAAATGTGTTTGTTTCTGGGCAAATTTCTCACAAATGTCAGTGTATATAACACGTTATTTTTCCTTTTGCTCTTTTGGAATCTCATCTTTCATAAGAAGACATGCAACATGACAAATAATGCCCAAACAAATCTAGATCGATTATTTCTAAATAAATACCAATT